ACTATTGTAACTTCTGTTGGGAGCTTGTGGCTCGGACAAAAACGGCGGCTTGAGCAATGAGATCTACGTCTTAAACCTTCCTACCTTTGTGTGGAAAAAGGTTTTCGCGGAGGACTCTAGGAGCCGAGCGAGTGCCTACACCTCAACGCCTCGCGAACACATGACATGCACTCTTGTCTCCAGGAAAAACATGTTGGTATATGGTGGGGACACTCGCAGGAGCGACGAGAACTGCAGCCAGACGGACGCATTCCTTTTCGATCTAAGTACATGGACGTGGAAGGATAGATATGTCAGTGAAGATGGGGTATACATCATCCCCGCAGCCATCATTGATGATATCGGCGGAAAGTTTGTTCTCCCAACCCCCCCCCCCCCCATAATGCGTTCAAAGGATATACACTAATAAAAACCAAGTGCTCTCGGTGGAGCAACAAAAACTAAGCCAGCTGCCGGCTTCAAAACTAAAGAAATCCAAGCACTGTTCTACGGAACCGCAGCCAGCGCAACTTCCGGCATTGCCAGCCCAGGAAGCACCTCTCAACCCCCCAAGTCGGGCGCATCACCTGGTGTCATCGCTGGCGCTGTCATCTGCGGGGTGTTGGTGGTATCTGCCCTAATCGGTGGCTATTTCTATTACAGACGCCGGAATCAATCACAGCCTGTTGAGCTGGATAGTCCACCCACAAAACTGTATGAAAAGTACGATGATAGACATCCACCCGTTTGGCCGCCCCAGGAGATGCCCATGCCAACTCACCCAATCGAGGTTACGCGGTTTAGGGCGGAGTTGAGCGAATGTAATTATGGGCCCTACGGAGTCCGATAGGCTAGTTTGTATATTCATTCTGTATATATCTTGTTTTTCTCTTTTTCCTTTCCATATACTTGCCTTTACGGCGTTTTTGCTTTTGTTTTTAAGCGGGTGGCGTTTGGGGGCTTCGTTTTTCTGTTGCATGAGAACCATCGTATCTGTGGCTATCGGTATGGGAATAACTTAAAATCACCGGTATGATATCGAGGGATTACTGTATCATATTTCACTATTCGACTGTAGCTATTTCTTTTAACCCCCGTGAGGCAAGTGAGTATGGCGAGTCGTATCCATTCCCGCATATAAATAAATTTCTTGCACTTGTTACATGAGAAAAGTTGCGGGATGTATTGATGAAAAATATCCCACCGATCAAGAGAGAGCTCGTATTCGACTGATCTACTCTGCCCCCCAATGTCAATTTTATACCCCGACATCCTTCCCGCTCCTTCGGAAACTCTTCAAAAGTAGGATTTCCATGCCTAAACTGTCACATTCTAGATGCAGAGTAATTCATCAAAAAGGGCTATATATCCGCGAGTTACCACCCAGTACCGCGGTAAGGTATAGTAGCACTGTGCAGTACTGCCCCACATCAGCACAACGATGGTTGAGTAATCACTGATTATCGCAACCTTCATAGACCAATCCCAAGACTTCTAGTGCTATGCTCGTATGGCACCGTACTAGATTAAAGCCAGTATCATACCGTACTTGTACTGTACTGTACAGTACCAGCACAATGAGGTCAAGCTCACCTCACTCTTCAGCCCTACCCGAGCATCAGCCGCACCCCAAATAGAAACTCCCCCATACGGTACCGCACAAGTGCCAGGGAGTGATTTTGGTACTCGTACAAGACGGGGATTATGCTGCCGGTCAACCTACCCTAACCGTTCACTAAATTTATCGTAGGTGCTTGTGCTCCAAGTGGGGGCCTTATGCTCGCTGCTTCCGCGGTTCCGGAAAACAGTACCGTAGCGAGCGGCCCACCGAGACCGAAACCGTGGAGCCGGAGAGAGCACGAAAAACGGCTGGAACCGCAAAAAGTGGGAACGCCGGCTTCCGACATCCGTTGCTAAAAAGGGTTTCGTGAGGTTCAAAAAAGCGTTATCGCCTAGGCGAGAGAC